GTCTGCTGGTCAGGCAGCTTCTCAGCCCGGGACAGAGAGAGACTGGATCGACTGGTGAGAAGGGCCAGTTATGTCCTGGGCTGCTCCATGGACACTCTGGAGGAGGTGGGCAACAGGAGGATGCTAGCTAAGCTAACAGCTATGATGGACAGACCCTCCAACCTGCTCCAGCCCACCCTGACAGCACTGGGTAGCTCCTTCAGCCAAAGACTGTTACACCCGCACTGCAAGAGGGAGAGATACCACCGCTCGTTCCTACCGACTGCTGTCAGACTGCTGAATAAACACATGTGAAAACCTGGACTCACCCCATCCATCCATTGTCAATAGCACAGCCACCTTATGGAGCATACTGTATATGCAGCTGCATATATGCTTCTATCTATATTTATATTTTATATTGCATTCTGTACTGTGTACATACAGTTCATTTTTCTGAAACATTTATTTTGTGCATGCAATACTTTGTTTTTCTTTTCTACCCCCCCCCCCCTTCAATTTTGCTGCTGTAGATAGCAAATTTCTTCATTGTGGGACAAATAAAGGTTTTCTTATCTTATCCTCAGAAGGGTCACAGGGCATGCTGGAGCCTATCCCAGCTGTCCTCGGGCAGTAGACGGGGACACCCTGAACTGGTTGCCAGCCAATCGCAGGGCACACAGAGACAAACACCCATTCGCGCTCACAATCACTCCTCGGGACAATTTAGAGTGATCAATTAACCTATCGTGCATGTTTGTCGAATGTGGGCAAAAGAAAATGTGTTTCCAGCAAATCTCAGGGCACACAGAGACAAACACCCATTCGCGCTCACAATCACTCCTCGGGACAATTTAGAGTGATCAATTAACCTATCGTGCATGTTTGTCGAATGTGGGCAAAAGAAAATGTGTTTAGCAGAGATGAAAGTGGACTTTCCTGAAAATTCCGGAAAAAAATTAAAAATTATATAAACTGTGTGTGTGTGTGTGTGTGTGTGTGTGGGTGTGTGTGTGTGTGTGTGTGTGTGTGTGTGTGTGTGTGTATATATATATATATATATCTACA